AAGAACAACAAAAACAACACCAAACCCTGGTCCTTCAGTAATCGCTGTATCATGGGTTAGGTGATTTTGGAGGCTATCACTGTCTCTGGCCTTAGCTTAATGCCATTGCCCGTACGTAAATAAATCTGGTGATGTTATTGTCAATTAGAGACAGGCCATGGGTGCATAATCAAGACATTTTTTCAGTGTGCTGTTTAAATAATGTCCTGATGAAATGCAGGGGAGTGAAGCTTGGAATAGTAGAGCAAGGGGGTGGGTATTAGCATTTAATATCCCAGGTTCCTCAACAAGTGCTTGCTGTTGGTAATGTGCGTTTATACTGCAGAGTAAGGATTTGTGGAGTCTGACAACCGGGTAATTTGCAACAACACACTAGCATCTGGGGGACAGTATTTGACCTTTAGGCCACTAGCAAACAGAAAAGGTATGTGATGGTGTTCATTTCAGAATAAGGGTGAAAAACATGATCTCTGCAGGCAGAGGAGCGGGGTTGTGTTCATACTCCAACACTAATTGCTGCTTTAAGATTATAAACTTATTTGCCATTCTTTTTTTTGTACTCGGGATCGAACTCAGGACCTCACACTTGCCAAGCAGGTACTGTGCTGCTGAGCTACATCTGGGCCATATTTACCATTCTTTTCCCATGCAAACAGTTAAATTCCTAGAACACACTGACCTATATTTTCTATTTGAGAACAATACTTGACATAAAATAACTGCTAAGTATTAGTTGAACTTGGAATTCCTCTTACATATGCTGTATAATAGATTTTAACACCTGGGAAAGATTCTTTGCTCAACCAAAGTTTAATCAGTTTCCTCAGCTGTCTTTAGGACCATTTGAGTAAGACCCTCCCCATATCTCCTCATTCTCCTCTATTCTCTTGTGTGATGATCAGCTTGTGGAACTTCCACCTTCTTCCCTGGTGGTGAGGAATGATCCCTTTTGCCTTTTTCAGCAAGACTCCCCAGCAAGAATCCTGTTATGTCAGTTCAGGCAGAATCTGCCTAACACCTGTTGTTACCTCATGGTAATTTCTCAACCACAGGCCTCCTCCATTGATCCTTGGCTATAATTTCCAACTAGTGTTTTTGAGCTAAGCCCAGTCTTGCTATTCCACTGTGTATCTTGTTTTCACTATTCCATCATATGAATATTTTGATGCTTTATGTATCAGCCAAAACTAAATTTAAATTAAAAATAAATATAACAAAAATGTCACCGCCTGCTGTGCAAACGCAAGGACCCGAGTTCGATCACTGGTACCCAAAACAAACAAACAAAAATGATCCTAGAAGAATTGTTGACAAAAAATTTTTAAAATATATATTTTTTAAGGAAAAGAAGCTATATAAAATATCTCAAATGGCTAAGCATGGTCAATTTTGAGGACTAGGAACAATAAAGTTTTAATTTCTGTACTATTTAGAGAATTAGTTACTATTTGCAATTTTTTTTTTTTTGCTACCGGGGATCAAACTAGGGTCCTTGCACTTGCGGGGCAGGTGGCAAAACCACTGAGCTAAATCCCCAGCCCTCTATTTGCAATTTTTGACATAGTCCAAAGCATATAAAATTTTGGAGGAGTGGTGAGTCTAGAATAAGGCATTGAAAATGATCAAGATATTTTATTACTTTATCAGTACCTATCATGTACTACAAACATACCCTAATTTAAAAGAAGATATTTTGAAGAAAAAAATAACAAAGGCTTAAATATTCTATCCCATTACAGTAATTTTAATAGTTTCTCCTGAGCCCATATATTCAAAGCCTATCAACAGGTATAAGGTTTATGGAGATTTAGAATAAAATGGTATTTCAAGCAGATAGGGATGGGCCCCTGCACAAATGAACAAACCATGTTTTTCTTTTCTCAGTCCACTGCTATATCGCATACCCTCCAAGTTGTATAAAACCAGCAGCAGCCCTGTATCCCTTAACCAAACACGAAGCCAAAATCCAAAAGGTGTGTTACAGCTTCTCACTAGGTTCCTAGGCAAGGCTGAGCCCACCCTCAAAACATGCCAGAAACATCACCGTTTATTTTACCTTTCAAGTTCTCATGGGGAGCTGAGGCCCCACTCGACTTTCAGAATCTGTTACCAGGGCCACGGGACCACACAGTCTGCCATTTAAATCATGCACAAGTTAGACCCATCAGCCCTGACAGCCTATACTTGGAATCATGCACCTCTAGCAGGTAGCCTCTTGGTTAAAAAAAAAAAAATTTCCAACCTTCCCTCAGTGTTCTGTAGTTGTCTGTTCTCTTTAGAGCATGATGATTAACCACAGTGAATCTTGTAAAGAAAAGTAACTGCTTGGCATTTAGACAGTGTACCCTACAAGGAAAAATTCTTATTGCAAAAAGATGCTTCTTATTGGAAACCTTGGGAAGAGCTTGAAGAAAGCACTCAGACATGATACAAACATCATTTGTGTTATCTAAGGGATCAACAAAGATATTTATTATTTGAAATTCTGACCATGTCCCTAAGGGGAAAGCTGTTTATCATTTCATGGATTAATGGCTTTCCAAGATCTTAACTATTCCTCTCACTTTGAATTCTTTTTTTTACCTAGTTTCCAGCCAAATCTGAGCAACACTTTAAGACTAGGCAAGATGGCTCGATAAAAGCTGTTTCAGGCTTCCATGTTGAAACACAAGCTATCATTATCAGAGATTTGGCAGAGATACAGGGGACCTCTGAGCAAGAAAGAATGGTTAGAGAGGCCTCTTCCATTTCTGAGCTAGGATGACAAAGTAGAAATCTGTAGAGCAGCCGGAGCTGTTCCATGCTAAGGCCCAGATTGCCAGAGGAGACCTGCATCCTGTGAGTCAGTGGCAGAAGTGCTACCACTTTTCAGAAGCCCTCAAATGTCTTTCTTTCCTTTCTTCTTTTATTTGAGAATGTGATGGAGGGGCTGTTGAGGAATAAAAGATGTTCACATTTATTTAAGTGTATTAAATAGATGTAGGGCCGGGGATTTAGCTCAGTGGTGCCCTGCCCGCCTCGCAAGCTCAAGGTCCTGAGTTCGATCCCCAGTACTGGGGGAAAAAAAAAGACATAAAAGGTGATTAGCAAAATTTCCAGGTACTTCTTAAGAATCAGTTGGCAAAGCCACATTTATTTTTAAGAAAATTAATTTCAACTTTGATGAGAATATATCTCAATACATATGAGGACATCATAGACAAAGTAGCTTTCTCATTTTTTAAAAAATAAGGAAGGAAAGAAAACATGCTATTGGAAGGAATGACGGAAACAACTTTCAAAATATATGCCAAGGAAAATAAAACAAGCTACATAAAATATCTCAAATGAATAAGCATGGTCATTTTTGGAAAACAGGAATAGGAAAGATTTTCACTCTCTATGCTACTTAGTAAATAAGTTAATGTTTGTAAATTCTTTAGACACAGTAAAGGTTATATAAGATTTCACAGGGCCAGGGATTTAGCTCAGTGGTGCCGCGCCTGCAACGAAAATGCAAGGCCATGAGTTCAGTGCAAGGCCATGAGTTTAATTCCTGATACCGCCAAAACAAAAAAAAGATTTCATGAGTACAAGAAATATAATGAGAGATATAAAAAACCTCTCATTATCATAGTCCCAGTATCTATGTGATGATGGTGGTACTGACCATGCTTTAACAAGTATCACTAACATTCTTTCAAATCAGAGACAGAAAACCTGCCTCTCAAGTGCAAGGACCCAAGTTCAATCCCCGGTACCAAAAAAAGAAAAGACAGAAAATACAACATGTAGGGACACACATTAACATATTTGATAAGGATATATAAAAAAATGTTGCCAATGCTTTAATATTGGTAATGCATTCCAATGTTTAGTGATTGAGATCAGTATTAGAAGGTAAACTGTTCGTGCCAATTCACTCTATCACTGAGCTACATCTCTAGCCCTCCTCTTTTTTTTAAAAAAATAGGATATTCAATGTCACTACAAGTATATAGAAATATAAAAACATGATAACAGCATCAAATAAAAAAATTAGTGTTTTTTTTTTTTTTTGTACCGTAGACTGAACTCGGACCTTGTGCTTACAAGGCAGACGTGGCACCACTGAGCTAAATCCCTGGCCTGTAAGTTTAGTGTTTTTATATGGAGGTTCCCCCTTTTACCTTTCCTAACACTGCTTTAAAAAATTCATCAAAACTATGAACTGATGGTAAAATCAAAACACTTAACAACAAAGAGAAAATCTCTGTGACTTTTGTGGTTGTATCTTTAACAGCTTGTTTCTGTGATCAAGGAGTGGACTGAGCTGCAGTTTCAGAGATTACCTTGTTCTCTTAAACCCTGCAGTAGTAAATAAAGCATTATTTGGGTCTCCCCAGGCCTCTTCATTTACATAAAATCCATGGTTACTGTCAGGCTCAACCTCAGAGGTGCCTCTCTGCCAGAGAGACCAACTGGCCCGCAAAGCTTACAATACAAGGGGCTCTTTCCAAAAAGAAAAAAGAAAAAAAGCTGACCTCTGCGTTAAGGAGTCTGGAGAATATTTTTCTAAGAAAAGCAAAAGAAAATCCAGAATTAGGAGAGTAGCATATGTGACAAAGAGGTAGGATCAATTTGAAAGACAATTTTGGGATTGTATGATCAGTTTAAAGTAAGGACTAGTGTGATGCAGTAGCCAGGGAAAGTCAGGATATATAAAAAAGCCATTTTAAGACAAATTGTGAAAAATTTTAAGCATTATACAACCTTTAAATTAGAAACAGTAATTTAAAATTGGATGTAGAGACTGGAGAACATTCATCTTGGTACGGCCACAAGTCCTCTCCTAGACAGTTTTTGTTTGTTTTGAAAAGTAAGAACAATAAAATGAGAATCAATTGACAAATTTAAAGACAATAAAACAGTGATCTGTTTTTAAAATGACATTCAATAAGTTCAACATCACTGAAAAATATTTGAATTTCACGGATGACCTTTAGAAAGATGAATAAATATCATTAATATTGAAAGGGAAGGGTATGAAATTATGGTTTTGGGCTAATGTTTTTATGAATACAAACAAGGAGAAAGTGTAAAATACTATAAGTGGTTTTCTGGGGAAAGCAAAACAGCACAAAACAAAATAAACAGAATGTTAAAGAACAAGAACCAAAATGACAGGAAGCCCGAAGAGGAAATTTCTTTACCTTAGGTTACACGTTAGTCTTCGAAATGCAAGTGTCTAATAGGAAATTTCCAGGGATCGCTTTAAGGGAGACTAGAGCTGACCAGAGCCCACAAAAAGAAACCCTGCAGTGCAGGGCAACACTCACTGCAGCTTGGCCTGCACCAGGGCCTTCGCCCTGCTGGCTACAGCAGAGCGCACACCACATGACCTCCTCACTGCACACCGTGGGCGCTGGGAAACGGCACCCTTCCTATGGACCGTGAGGCCCACCCAGATCTATGTCTGCTGTTGGTGCAGCTTTGTCACACTGGGAAATGTGACCTTTAGTCTAAGACATTCCATTTATTTAAAAATCTACCCTGTGACTGAGGAGCAAAATTGTATTAACATAGTTGCTCAAGGGTAAATGTAAGACCTTGTACAGTCAACTGACCTAGCTTCACCGATATGAACTGTAGATGTGACTATAAGTGTAGGATGCTTGTGTACATTCATTTTGCAAATCTGTGGGAATCCACAGGAAAAGTAGGCATAGACCAGTCTTCCCTGTGTCTTTGCATGGAATCATGACTTATATTATCCCTACAGCAGCTGTATGTTTCAGTTTTTGAAATAAATACTTGAAAAACATCTTGCTCAAATGAACACAGTAAGTCCTCGCTCTTGAACCTCCATCTTTTTGCAGAACCCTTGCTCGTCTGTGGGCCTCGGTTTTGTTGGATGCTAGATGGCGCTGTGGACATAGGGGTCACTGGTCATCACAAACAGTGTGGCATGGAGTTCTGTGGTGTGAGTTTAAGGAGTGAAAGCAACCTGTGATGGAACAGAACTGTCTTCTTCTGAGGATCCAGCATCTTTCACAGGGAGGTCTAACTAGGCAAAAACAGAAACAAAAAACAAAAACAAAAATTACCTTGATAACCCTAACTATTTTTGTGGCCACTTTTCTTGGACCTTAGCAGTCTCTCATTTTCCCCAGCCACTACTTTTCTTTTGCCTGTACAGTGTCTGCCCATCAACCTCATGCTTTTTCTTCAAATATAGAAGGCCCTCACATTCTCGTTTTATAGTTATGCCAGCTGTGTTCTGAAGTAATCAGACCTTCCCACAGTAGCTGCTGAATACAATCACAAAAACTCTAAAATCTGAAAACTTTGACAAGGGATAAACTACTTTATAAGCTCCTCGTGAAGTCTCTGTTATGTCCTGGTCTCTACCTAAATACTCATCCTTTCTTGGACTTTCCTAATTTTCCTTGTGTGTTATCAGCTGTTTATTCTTTTTGTATTCAATCAGAAATTCCTTCTTCCAAGGAACCTTCAAGGACCATTTAAATGCAATTTTCACACATATTTCCATGCTTCTTGTGGATTGCACAGAATAATGCACATTCTGTACTATAGCATCTCTAAATCCAATATTTTTTGGTGGTGCTGGGATGGAATTCAGAGTCTTGAGTATGCAAGCACTTTACCACTGAGTTATATCTCTACCACTCAAGTCTGATTATATCGCTTACTTGATGGGACTTCTGCTTGGCTGATGTCTAGAATAAGGGATAAATTAGTCTATTCCTTTGGCTATTCCTTACGTGTAGCAATGTACATACCACCTCATTGTAACTCAGTTTTCATAGCTTGCAAAAATGAATATATTAACATCATTATCTTTTCATATAACAACAATGAGTAACTGAGTATTGAAGTAAAAATATATTTTATAATAGTGTCAAAAACCAAGATACATTTGGGAAAAAAAATCTGTGAAAATATATGCAAAATTTTACTTGGAAGTTAGAAAACACTGGTCAGATTAATTAAGATGGTCTAAATATGGAGATATACCAACTGCATGGATTAGAAGCCTAATATTTCCATTATAGTTTTTACACATTTATTTATACATTTAGGACCGGGGATTTAGCTCAGTGGTTTCACCACCTGCTGCGCAAGCTCAAGGACCCAAGTTCGATCCCCAGTAGCAAAAACAAAAAACAAAAAACAAAAAAAACCCCTTATCTGTTAGTTATACATTTAGTACAATCCCCAATGAACATCCCATTATAATTTTAATAAATTTACATGAGAAAGTAAAATTCTAAAATTTGTATGAAAAATAAATGAATTCAAAGAGCCAAACCAATTTAGAAAAAGCATAAGGCGTGGCACCTACCATCTCTCTCTTTGATTAATATAAAGCAATTTTAGTTAATATGGTATTAGTGTAAATACAAACATTTGGAGAAATAGAATAATGTTGCTTTCAGAAATAGACTTATATTTATATGTTCAATAGATTTTTGGCTACTATGTCCAAGAAGTTTAATAGGGAGAAGATTGCAGTTAGGATTGGTGCTAGAATTACTGAGCATTCACGTGTAAAAGAAAACAAAGCAAAAAAAATAAAATGCTGATTCTAATTTTGCATTATGCCCAACAATTCAAAATTTATCAAAGATATAAAAATGGCAAATCTGAAGAGATAAGTCTTCTAAAGAAAATATAGCAGTTAATCCTGATGAGCTTGGGTTAAGCAAATATTTCATAGATAGGAACCACTAAAGAAAAAAATGGATAAATTATATTTAATCTAGCTAAAAAATAATTGGTTCTCTTCTAAAGACTTTTTAAGTAAAATGATATGCAACAGGCCCAGAGAAAATATTTTCAAAACATGTTTGATAGGGTCTAAAAGTGCATGTGTCTGAGCATATGTGCTACTAATAATGTTAATAAAGCATTACTTTCAGTATTCAGAATGGGGACAGTGACATGTAAAGAACGGGTAAGTGGCAAATAAGCCCATGAAAATATGTCCAGTACCATTGTCAGTACAGAGATACGCATTAAAGCCACAATCAGATGCTAGTGTACACTATTAGGGAAATTAAAATAAAAAAATACATACACCTGGGAGCTGGGCATTGCAGCGCAAGCCTGTAATCCCAGCACTTGGGAGGCTGAGGCAGGAGGATTGCTGTGAGTTCAAGGCCAGCATGAGCTACACAGTGAGCTTAAGGCCAGCCTGAACTACATAGTGAGACCCCTATCTTAAAAAACAAAACAACACAGGATTGGTGAGAAAACTTAGTAGGCTCACCAAGCACGCACAATGCCCTAGTTAGATCCCAGCACTGATCACATACATAATATATATAAAATCACATACGCATGCAATACGTAAAATCATGCACACAGATGCACACTGCTAATAGCAAACGGAGCTCTCACATTTTGCTGGAAGGAATGGAAAATGGTTTGTCAGATTCTTTGTAAAATGGATTGTATATTTATTGTTCCACACAGTCACCTATTCTCTTAAGTATGCCTCTGAGAAATGAAACTGCATTCTTCTTGGAAGCTTTTTGATTTTTTTTGGTACCGGGAATTGAACTCGGGACCTTGCGCTTTCGAGGCAGGCGGTGGAACCACTGAGCTAAATCCTCGGGGCTCGAAATCACATTTGTGTAGAAGCCATGTGCACAGTAGCCCACATTGGAATCAACCCAAATACTCATTAAGTGGCAAGAAAACATGAGCAAATTGTGGTATATTCTTTCAGTAGACTAGAATTCAGCATTACAAAGGTACAAAGTACTGATGAATGAAATAACATGAAAAAAACCTCAAACACAGTATTGTAAGTAAAGAAACATCAGATAGAAGACACTGCACATGGAACAGTCTCATTTATCTTACATCCTGGTTAAGGCAAAGCTATTAGAGTAGACGAGATCGGTAACTGTCAAGCCGTCCTAGGTACATCATCATTGGCAGGCAGAGTGGAGCAGGGGATTGCGCACTGGGCCCTGGGGAACTCTCTGGGCTGATGATGCAGTTTTCTGGAGACATATATATCGTATATCGGGGAGGCAGTGTAGGATCTGAGGTATGGAAGGACTCCTCTGAACAGCATGAGATTTGTTCCTCTATCTCCTGAAAGCAGGTTGTCCTTCAAAGCCTAGGGCAGGGAGCCTCTTGGGCCTCTTTAATTATAGTAAAATGGGCATTCGCAGTCAAGCAGGGCATTTGTAGTGAAGACTATCTACCCTGAGCAGCTGCAGGGAGGGGTTGGTTTAGCCTTGGCTACTGTCTCATAATAGATCTTTCTCAGAGAGGAAGCTGTCATTGTCTCTTGCAGCCTATCTGCAGCAGACCTAATAAATTTAAAATGTTGGGTGTGGGTGTATTTTGTCTTGCCAGATGCGGGCAACTGGTGAAACTTCAGTGTGGGATGCAGAATGGTTTGGAGCCCTGTTCTTGGTGGTCATCAGCGTGATACTCTGTGTTATCTTCCACACAGTGGAATTCTCTCTTGGGACTGGTTATTAGTGAAGCTACTTCAAAAAATTGGTGTACTGAACAAGGTCTGGTCTGACACAACCATCACTTTATGGAGAAGTGCGAACAGCAAGCCCCTCTATACCCTGTCTAGGGTGCAGGCATCCTCCTGGAAACATGGGATCTGGGTGTGCAGGCAAATGAATTATAGGGAAACATGGGTCAAAAGAAGGACACCTGTCTCCTCAGCACTCATGGATGTGAATGAGCTGACTGCATAGAATTGTTAGCCAACTAGTTGGACTTCAGCAGGGCAGAGGAATGGGGGGGGGGGTGTTGTTCCAAAACAGCATGGCTTGTCAGTTAATCACAGAAAGACTTCAATGTACAATACATTTATAATTATTTATTAGGTCTCAGGCTCCAAGTGACCCCACAAAGCACAGTGAAGTCTTAAGGTTATATATTGTGCACATTTGTTCTGATACTTGGCAATCTAAATTAAGACCATATTCCACTTCTGGCTCCCCTAGCCTATAGCCCAGTGATATCAGGAAGGGAAATATTTTTAAAGACCCTCCTGCCTTGGGCTGGGACCTGGTTTAAATGAAGAACTTATCTTTCTCAAATTCTCTTTTGCAAATTCTTTACTTGATTAAAGCCCCTAAGGAAAAACTGACCATCTGAAAGAAACAGACATTTTGCAATTCCAAAGTAACTTCTAGGTAAAAATGTTGATAAGCATCATAATTATCCTAGTACCCTCTGCGCACATAAAAATGAATCCAAACTTGTGCTCGGCACGGATGGCTTTGTGGCAAGGACCGCCTTCTTCCTTGATGGTGTGACTCCTCCTTTATCTACTTTAGAATAAATACGACCGACCGATGCTTTTGCACATCCTATCTGTTGCCTGCATCCTTCCTTTCTCAAGGGCACAGAGAAAGGAGAAGGGAAGCAAGGGGCTGTTCCCTTACTGTATCAGGGCCCGGCTTCCTGGGAGCGCCGGGAGCGCCTTTTTGGTGCTGACTTGGATCACTAATTTACCAAGTGGTAAGAGTTGATTTCCTGCCCTCATTCTCTCATATTCTCTCTTCCTCTCTCTCCCTCTCTTGGGTTAAGACTGTAAACCTGTATTTTCTTGCCTTTACAATAGGCTGCAACACTCTGCGGGCTTGGAATTATCCTGACGCATCGGAGACTTTGTGTCTCGGGTAAGATAATTTATACTCTGTGATATCTCAGGCTGATGAATTTGTATTTACAGGTATTTATTCCTAGGCTTTCACATTTTTTGTTGTCTCTTCTGCCATGTTGTTGGTGGTAGGGGGGTAAGGGTGCTTTTGATTAAAAAAATGGAATACTGTTAAGAGTTTTGCTAACCTTACTTTGATAATTCTGCTTTGAGAATGGTTTTGATTCTGTATAGAGCATTGCTTAAGTCCCGTTAGATGCCAATGAATTCAAAGACTGCTATACTGTTTTGGTATATATTAGGCAGTTTATATCACTTTATGCTTTGGGAAATTAGTGTCAGCCCTTGTCCTTACAGATGTGTGATAAGATACACACTAGGTCAGGGTTGGAGAATCT